AAACACTTCTATCCATCCTGTAAAAGTGTCCACAAGTGTTAAGAGATGATAGAGTTTTTTATGAGTAGGCATATGAATAAAATCAACCTGCCAATCTTCTCCCAGTTGGTGTCCACAAAGCTGGTGTAGAGACTGAAATATGTGGAGAGCCCCTTGTGGGTTGGCCTGGGCACACGTCTGGCAGGAGGAGTGAACCTGTAAAATAGAATCTTGGAGATGGGTGTGGTTATAAAGGGCCTCCAAGAAGTGGAACAAAGCTTTGGGGAAGTGGCTAAGGATATCTCTACCCAGTAAAGGTGCTGGGCAAGCTGGTATCGCTAAGAAAGAATGAGAGAAAAATTGTCCTGCAAGAATGCAGGGCCGTGGCAAAGTTTTAAGTGGGGAGGAATGGGTCCTGTCTACCCCTATAACTGAAATTGGTGAGGGGAATGTAAGGCCTGAGTGAGATATTAGAACAGAATAGGTAGCTCCCATGTCCAAAATAAAAGTAATGGACTTACCCGCTACCTGCAGCTTTACCCTAGGCACGGATAGGGTTACGGGATATACCAAGTCTGGGCAGCATCAATCCTCTGCAAGGCTGAGAAGTTCGAAGGCTGCCACAGTTTCGCTTGCCAATGTTGGTGAGGCTGGACCTCTGTGACGTGGCATAGAGGACAAGCCTACACGGGGGCATTGTCATTTCCAGCGTCCAGGCAATACCGTGCAATACCGTGCCACGTGACCAGTTAGGCCACACTTGAAACAGCTTGCCTGCGAGGTTGACTTAGGCTGGGCTCCATCAGAATAGAGCCTTGTGGTTTGGCTTCCCTTGTCCCCCTTCCTTGACCTTAGGGCAACTGCTAAGGCCTGGGCCTGCAGATTGTTGTAGCCTTGTCTGTCGGGAAGACTCAGCTGTTTTTTTCTCGGCCATTAAAAACTTGAAAGGCCATTTTCACCAATTTCCGTATAGGGGTTTGGGGACCCTCCTCAACCTTTCTTAACATTTAGCAGATGGATCAGTAGAAAAGGAACCTAGCCACTTTCTTTCTGAGGGAGATCCAGAAGAGAAAAGGGAACATGAACTCTCATAATGCGGTTGACTACCGCCACCTCCCAGAGAGGACAGAGAAGGGCGAAGCTATGGTGGGATCTGGTAACGAGAGGAGACTGAGGAGGATTGGGAAGGGCTAGCTCAGTGCCCAGAGGGGGGTCCAAGGGTGGGAAGATGAGGTAGAAGGGGAGGGGGGGATGGGGAGAGGAAGGTGGGTAAGGTGGAAGTTGACCTTGAACTTCTGGATTGGCAAAGGAGGAAGTAGAGAGGGAAGACGAGAAATGTCAAGAATGTTGTTCCATAAGAGGAGGTTGGGTAGTGTGGGCTTGAAGGAGTAGGGGAGGGGCCAGTGCCTCTGGCTGCATGGTCCAGCTGGAATTGTTGGGGTCCCAATTTCAGATGACTGGGAATTTGGAGGCGTTGTGGCCTTAGCTACCAAGACGGGTGCTGCGAGACACTGGCTACCAAGGGAAGGGCGAGAGCACAGAGCCCAAAAACCATGGACATATGTAAGCTCTGCCCATTTGTCTCTATGGTGACAAAAATTTAAATTAGCCATTCAAGACAGATTGTATCAGACAGTCCCAATTTATAAAGATTTTGTAAGAGGCATCCCAGGGGCGGCAGCGGATCTGGCTTTGAACTTCAAGTGCCCATTTTAAAGTCTATGCCCAACCACGTGGCCTAAGTCTATTACAGCACATCTGCTAAAATAGCTCTTAGGCCTAATGGGGTCATGGAAATGGAATGCTAGGTGCCCCTAAAGCAAATAAAGTCCATTTTAGCTAGACCCGGTTTTGCCAGTCTAGCCACTGAGCTGAGACCAAACTCTTGCTGTGGGTCCACTGCTTCCAAAAGAGTCTGATAATCGACAAAAGTATGAGTGGGTTCCCCAAGCCTTATAGCATAGACAACAAAAAGGGACTCACAAAGACACAGCCACTGTAGCCCAGGAGCGGATTTTAGCGTGGCACGGAGAGCTCAGATTGTGGACTAGGGGGTTTTCGATGCTTGGCCTATGGCCACGCGGAAAGGCAGCCCTACCGGGTAGGACCTCCAAGATGTTAGGAACTTTGCTAATGGAGCTCTCTGCCGACACAAAAATCCCAATCAAGCCAAATCACAACAAGCCAAATTAAAAAAAATATCCAGGTTTAATGGGATTCCTGTGCTCTCAGGTGGCCCCAAGGGGAAACCAGAAAGCCATGGTGGCAAGCGCGACCATGCAGGAACTTTCTGGGGAAGCAGTTTAAATAGACTGTGGAGTGGTCAAGATTTTGGCAGGCTCATCTTGACACTCCTCCGGGGAACAGGGATGGGGCTTGCAAAGATAGAGGCAAAGACCCCGGATATACAGAGCATCAGCATTGGTGGAATCCATTAGTAAAATGTCACTGGCCACAAACTGTGCTTCTGGGTATCGATCCAGCATTGCTAAGTATTGTGCTTTGAGGATTTTGAAGCGATGGCAGGCAGGGGCAATTCTAGGGCACGGTCCAGGCAGAAAACCACCTTCCGGAAATCTTGTTTTTCAAAATCCATTTCCGCTATTTTCTCATACTCCACGACTGCATTGGCGTTCTTGAACTCTTGTGCCTGGGCATTTTTATGATCCAGTTCTAGGGCTCTTTGGAAACTGCGACATGCTACCATTGCATTTCCCAGTCAGAGGTGGCATTTGCCTTCTCGGAGGTGTCCCCGGACAAAACTGTCATCCAATCTCACTGCTGCGCGTCCCCAAGAGCTTCCCGGAACCGTCCAAGCACCACAGTCTTTTTCTTGGGGTCAGAGAGAATGGTAAAGGCCTCTCCCACTTCCTTGAATTTCTTTTCCTCCTCCTTCTGAACCTCAGCACTGGCCCCACTGTGCCCATCTGGATGGTGCATGAAGGCCCGTGGCCGGTAAGCTCTTTTGATCTCGTCCTCAGAGGCATTCTTGTCGACCCCCAGGATCTTGTAGTAATCTTTCCTCTTGCTCTTCTTCAGCTCCAGCTGCGCATTCTTTAGGAGCTGTTTGTGTTCTTTTGTTTTCTCCTTCTGGTACACTTTTTCATAGTCCCGCACAGCTTCTTCAAACTGCTCTGTGTCCATGTAACACTGAGCTCCTTCTCAAGTAGGCCTTTATGTAGGTATCATCAAGTTTCAGCGCATTCGTGAAGTCCTCTATGGCGTCATCTAGCTTCCTAAGCTTGGAATTAATTAACCGTACCCCGATCACAGTAGAGTTTAGCATTTGTTTTTATGTTCTGTGTACAGTTCATATGCTAGCTTGTAATTTCCTTCCTTAAATGCTTTATTCCCATCTTCTTTCTTGGCTTTAAGGGCTTTGGCATTTCTACAAGCAATACACGCCTTCTCGTGGTCAGGAGCCATCCTGAGAGCCCGCACAAAAAACGGAACTGCTTTTTCAATACAGTCTTCATAATACAGGCAAAGACCCCGGACATACAGAGCATCAGCATTGGTGGAATCCATTCGTAAAATGTCAATGGCCACAAACTGTGCTTCTGGGTATGGACCCAGCATTGCTAAACATTCCGCTTTGAGGATATTTTTAAAATATTTATTTATTTATTTACTCATTATGTATACATTATTCTGTCTGCGTGTATGCCTGCTGGCCAGAAGAGGGCACCAGACCCCATTACAGATGGTTGTGAGCCACCATGTGGACGCTGGGAATTGAACTCAGGACCTTTGGTAGAGCAGGCAATGCTCTTAACCTCTGAGCCATCTCTCCAGCCCTGGTTTGAGGATTTTGAAGCGATGGCAGGCAGGGGCAAATTGTAGGGCACGGTCCAGGCAGAAAACCACCTTCCGGAAATCTCGTTTTTCAAAATCCATTTCCGCTATTTTCTCATACTCCACGACTGCATTGGCGTTCTTGAACTCTTGTGCCTGGGCATTTTTATGATCCAGTTCTAGGGCTCTTTGGAAACTGCGACATGCTACCATTGCATTCCCCAGTGAGAGGTGGCATTTGCCTTCTCGGAGGTGTCCCCGGACAAAACTGTCATCCAATCTCACTGCTGCGCGTCCCCAAGAGCTTCCCGGAACTGCCCAAGCATCATCAGTGTAGCCGCTCGATTAACATAATAGCTGGCATTTTTAGGACATATATCTCTGCCTTTTGTATAATAGTTATAAGCCTAGCTGTAGTCCTTCTTAGCATAGTATGCATTCCCTTGTTCCTTGAAGGATTCCGCTTCCCTCTTGGAGTCTCCTCCTCTACAGTTCAGGCTCGGTCCGGGCCAATACCACATCGCACTCCGGTGTAGCCGCCATCTTACCGAGACCAGCGAGCCCGGTGGAAGGCCCAGCGTTCATTTTGTGACTCTTTCTCTCTTCCTTCATTGACTTTGGGTTTATGAAAACCTCACTCTGTTACTACAAACAGAAGAGAGAGGTGGTCTTTGTCTCTTCCTCAGGCAGGAATATTGCTTCTATGCCAAGAAGTAAGGTGTAGTAAAAGACAAGATCTGGCAACTCCAGCTGGATCTTCAAAAACATAAGAGACAGCTTGATACCTCTAGTCTGTGGCTCATTGTCATTCTAAAATGGAATTGGCTACTACCCTTATTAAACCCCTTTCTCCTCCGTTTCTTGATCCTACTGGTTGAACTCTTGTAAAAATCTTATTTTCGTGTGAGCTCCATGGAACCCTGCTACACAGCCTGCACCAATATGAGTGGACCTAAGAGACAGCCACAGCAAATATTGGAACAGGAAGCCAAGACAATAATTGGCCTCATTTGAAAGAAGAGATGGGTAGGTGCCAATGCAAGAATTCCTCCAACATCCTAAAAAGCAACATGGTAACACAAGAACCCAGCAGATACACACACAGGAAGACTTGATTATCCTAACAGAGAAGATGTAGAAGTTACAATTTTAAATGTAACTTTATGAAAATGATGGAGACCTTTAAAGAGGTAGTGAAAAACTCCCTTAAAGAAATGGAGAAGAGCCCTCGTCTCCTACAAGATGGCGAGCGGCGGCAGCGGCGGGGTGTCGGTTCCTGCGCTGTGGAGTGAGGTGAACCGTTATGGCCAGAACGGCGACTTCACGTGTGCCCTCAAGACCACCAACAAGGTATTGCAGATCAACAAGGATGACGTAACTGCCCTGCACTGCAAAGTTGTTTGCCTCATTCAGAATGGAAGTTTCAAAGAAGCCTTGAATGTCATCAATACCCACACCAAAGTGTTAGCCAATAATTCTCCTTTGAGAAGGCATATTGCGAGTACAGGCTGAACAGAATTGAAAATGCCTTGAAGACAATAGAAAGTGCCAACCAGCAGACAGACAAACTAAAGGAGCTTTACGGACAAGTGCTCTACCGCTTGGAACGGTATGACGAGTGCTTGGCTGTGTACAGAGATCTTGTCTGGAACTCGCAGGACGATTATGATGAGGAACGGAAAACAAACCTGTCGGCAGTTGTTGCAGCGCAGAGCAATTGGGAGAAGGTGGTTCCAGAGAACTTGGGTCTCCAAGAAGGCACACATGAGCTCTGCTACAATGCTGCCTGTGCACTGATAGGGCAAGGCCAGCTGAACCAGGCCATGAAAATCCTACAGAAAGCTGAAGATCTTTGTCGTCGTTCATTTTCAGAAGATTCTGATGGGGCTGAGGAAGACCCACAGGCAGAGCTGGCCGTCATTCATGGTCAGATGGCGTATATCCTGCAGCTGCAGGGTCGCACCGAGGAGGCGCTGCAGCTCTACAATCAGATAATAAAACTGAAGCCAACAGATGTGGCTCTACTTGCCGTAATCGCAAATAACATCATTACCATTAATAAGGACCAAAATGTCTTTGACTCCAAGAAGAAAGTAAAATTAACCAATGCAGAAGGAGTAGAGTTCAAGCTCTCTAAGAGACAGCTGCAAGCCATAGAGTTTAACAAAGCTTTGCTGGCTATGTATACAAACCAGGCAGAACAGTGCCGAAAAATATCTGCCAGCTTGCAGTCCCAGAGTCCTGAGCGTCTCTTGCCTGTGTTAATCCAAGCTGCCCAGCTCTGCCATGAAAAGCAACACACAAAAGCAATAGAGCTGCTTCAGGAATTTTCTGATCAACATCCAGAAAATGCAGCCGAAATCAAGCTTACCATGGCACAATTGAAGATTTCTCAAGGCAACATTTCCAAAGCTTGTCTCATCCTGAGAAGCATAGAGGAGTTAAAGCATAAGCCAGGCATGGTGTCTGCCTTAGTGACCATGTACAGCCACGAGGAAGATATCGATAGTGCCATTGAGGTCTTCACACAAGCTATCCAGTGGTATCAAAGCCATCAGCCCAAATCCCCTGCTCATTTGTCCTTGATAAGAGAAGCTGCAAACTTCAAGCTCAAGTATGGACCGAAGAAGGAGGCAGTTAGTGACCTAGAACAGCTGTGGAAGCAAAATTCAAAAGATATTCACACCCTAGCCCAGCTTATATCTGCTTACTCGCTTGTGGATCCTGAGAAGGCAAAGGCTCTTAGTAAACACTTGCCCTCGTTGGATAGCATGTCACTAAAAGTGGATGTCAAGGCTCTTGAAAATTCTCCTGGTGCTACGTACATTCAGAAGAAGGGTGGAAAGGTTACTGGAGATAATCAGCCAAAGGAACAAGGACAGGGAGATCTGAAAAAGAAGAAGAAAAAAAGAAAGGAAAGCTGCCTAAGAATTATGACCCAAAAGTCACCCCAGATCCAGAAAGATGGCTACCCATGCGAGAACGGTCTTACTACCAAGGAAGAAAGAAGGGTAAAAAGAAGGACCAGATTGGAAAAGGAACACAGGGAGCAACTGCAGGGACCTCCTCTGAACTAGATGCCAGTAAAACTGTGAGCAGCCCACCCACCTCCCCAAGACCTGGCAGTGCAGCAACGATATCTTCCTCTACAAGTAACATAGTGCCCCCAAGACACCAGAAGCCTGCAGGGGCCCCAGCAATGAAAAAGAAACAGCAACAGAAGAAGAAGAAAGGAGGCAAAAGTGGCTGGTGAAGACGATGTACTTGTCGCGGGCTGTTCTTAATCCAGTGCCAGTGACATTAGGAACATAATAAAGGTAACACAGCAAGACGCACAGAGCTTCCCTCCTCCATCCCTAGTCCTGAAATGATTTCTTATTCTTCAAGTGGGAAGACGTCCTCCTCAAACTCTCTAATCAGATTTGGCCTACTTGTACCAAATAGCTTTACAGAAGACTGAAGACTGAGCATGAGGCACGCTATCTAAGGGTTCCCAGGATTGAAATGGAAACTAGTGTGAAGATGCGCGTTCCTATTCAAGTCTCACCTTAAATTATGTCTTAGGAGGCTAAAGGTGGAATCTTCTGAGCATTTCAAGTATTTGTTTAGAGCTATCATATGATGAAAAGGGATCTCAGTAAATGAGTGGCCAGAAAGACTCAGTGTCTAAAATAATTTTCACCATAAATCCTCTGTCCTGCGACACTGGAATTGGAGCTCTCATGTGTGTATGTGTACACATCTGACTGGCTCCTTTGTACCCTTGTCATTTTCATCCTCAGATTATGTTAACATGCTGATTTAGTTCCACTGAAGACCTCAAGAAGATATATCAATGTTACAAGTAGTTGTCACTTAGACCCAGCGTTCTGAGGGCAAATGTGTTTGGGCTTCTTAATCAGAACATAAACTTTGACTTCTTTATTTTAAGAGGAAACAGGCGATATTGAAATTCACCAGAGCTTTTGGCCCAGCTGGTACTCAGATGGCACCCCTTTCTTTATGGGACACGGCCTTTCATTACCTTCTTCAAAGTAATGTGGTTTGCAGTCGCTTTGTGGTTTAAATGTTGCTCTTGTCTTTCATGGCTAGCAGGCCACTTTCCTGCCCAAACAGTTGAGAGGCACACCTGGGTGTCTCCATGTTCAGTACTCGTTTATGCCACCACGCTATCATTCATTTTACACTTCTATTTCCTTGTGATCACATTACTCTGTCCTTGTTAATAAAAGTGCTGCTGTGTTTGAGCATTAAAAAAAAAAGAAATGGAGAAGACAAACAAAAAGCTGGAAGAAATTAATAAATCCCTCAAAGAAACCCAAGAAAACCAAGAAAAAGCAATCAAACAAGTGAAGGAAACAGTTCAGGACTTGAAGACTGAAATAGAGTTAATAAAGAAAACACAAGCTGAGGGATCTGTGGATATGGAAAATCTGGGTAAATGAACAGGAACTACAGAGACAAGTATAACCAACACAATCAAAGAGATAGAAGAAAGAATCTCAGGCACTGAAGATACTATAGAGGAAATAGACTCATTGGTCAAAGAACACATTAAATCCAACAAATTCTTAACACAAAACATCTAGGAAATCTGGGACACTATGAAAAGACTAAACCTAAGAAAAATATGTAGAAGAACTCCAGCACAAAGGCACAGAAAATATATTCAATAAAATTACAGAAGAAAACTTTCCCAGTCTAAAGAAGGATATCCCTATGAAGGTACAAGAAGATTACAGAAGATCTAGACTGGATAAAAAAAATCCCATTACCATATAATAATCGAAACACAAAACATTCAGAACAAAGAGAGAATATTAAGATTGCAAAGGAAAAAGGTCAAGTAACATATAAAGGTAAACCTATCAGAATTACACCTGACTTCTCGGTGGAAACCATAAAAATCAGAGGTCCTCTATATGTGATAGATGTGCTGCAGACACTAAGAGTCCATGGATGCAAGCCTAGACTATTATGCCCAGCAAAGTTTTCATTCATCATTGATGGAGAAAACAAGATATTCAGTGACAAAACATATTTAAACAATACATATCTGCAAACCCAGCCTTACAAAAGTATTAGAAGGAAAATCTCAACACAAGGAAGCTAACTACACCCATAATAACACAGACATCTGATAATCCCTAACGGTATAACCCAAAGACGGGAAACTACCGAAAGATAACTGGAGTGAACAACCACTGGTCATTAATATCACTTAATATCAATGGTCTCATTTCATCTATAAAAAGACACAGGCTAAGAGAATGGATACAAAAACAGAATCCAGCATTCTTCTGTTTACAGGAAACACACCTCAACCTCAAAGACAGACACTACCTCAGAGTAAAGGGTCGGGAAAAGGTTTTCCAATCAAATGGACCTAAGAAACAAGCGGGTGTGGCTATCCTAATATCCAACAAAATTGATTTCAAACTACAATCAATCAAAAGAGATGGAGAAGGACACTTTATATACATAACAGGAACAATTCATCAAGATGAAGTCTCAATCCTGAATATCTATGCCCCTAATACAAGAGCACCCACGTTTGTAAAAGAAATATTACTAAAACTTAAACTGCACATCAAACCCCACACACTAATAGTAGGAGATTTCAACACTCCTCTCTCCTCAATGGACAGGTCAAACAGAAAGAAACTTAACAGAAAAATAAGAGAACTAACAGATGCAATAATCAAATGGACTTAACAGATATCTATAGAACATTCCACCTGAACAAAAAAGATTATATCTTCTTCCTAGCACCTCATCGAACTTTCTCTAAAACTGATCACATTCTCGGTAACAAAGCAAACACCCACTGAATCTAAGAACACATAAAAAAATCATCCATCTTGATTAAGTAGGCTTCATCCCAGAGATGCAGTGTTGGTTCAACATACTAAAATCTATCAATGTAATCCACCATATAAACAAACTGAAAGAAGAAAACCATATGATCATTTAATTAGATGCTGAAAAAGCAGTTGACAAAATTCACCACCCCATCATGATAAAGGTCTTGGGGAGATTAGGAATACAGGATCATATCTAAATTTAATAAAACAATATACAGCAAGCCGACAGCTAACATCAAATTAAATGGAGAGAAACTCAAAGCCATTTCACTAAAATCAGGAACAAGACAAGGCTATCCACTCTCACCATATCTCTTCAACATAGTTTTTGAAGTTTTAGCAATAGCAATAAGACAACATAAAGAGATCAAGGGGGTTCATATTGGAAAGGGAGAAGTCAGAATTTCATTATTTGCAGATGATATTATAGTGTACAGAAGTGACCCCAAAAACTCAACCAGAGAACTCCTACAATTGATAGATACCTTTAATGAAGTAGCAGGATATAAGATCAACTTGGGGCTGATCTAATGGTTTGGTATTTTCTTATTTTTTTAAGTAATAAAATATATAAAAATAAACTTGTTGTCTAGATTTCTTCAAGAACAGATTGAAAAAATTGCTAATCAGACTTTTAATCAGTTGCTATTGCAGGATTACTGGCTCCTAGCTACAGAGCCAGAGACCAGAGACTCACAAATATACCTTGATGGTGAAGATCAATTTTGCCCAAAAGGGCTTTGCCGCCTTGATTCAACACTAAGTAGTCTAACAATAACATTGCTCCTCTTTCCCACGACATAATTGTTTATCAATAATAAACAACAAAGAGTGGGGAATGTGAGCCCCTCAAGTCACACGACCTCCAACTTCCATGTTCCACCCACAGGACACTCTAACTGCCTTAACTGCTGAAGCTAGTCCCCACAGTTCAGTGTAAGAAGCCCAATCTCTGAACATGAAATCCCACCAATCTCCACCCTGGAAAGCTCTACCCTCTCCCCAGGAAACTCTGTATAAGCCCCGTGTCCTGTTCAGATTGCTGCTGTTTCTCACCCAAGCAGAGGCAATCGGCCTTCTGGTTTTTCCTGTTCCAATATCTTGTGTGAGGTCTGTTGTGTGATGTTACTTTGAATAATTCATTGGCTTCTGACTGCCAGGAAACCTTTCCATCCAAGCTTTAATGCTTACAGTGGGGGCAGGCTTTGAAGTTTCCTATGCCCAGGATACTGCCCAGTGTCTCAGTTGACTCCCTGTTACCTGCAAGATGTCCAACTCTCAGCTGCGTCTCCAGCACCACGTCTGCCTACACGCTACCATGCTCCCTGCCGTGATGATAATGGACTGAAGCCCTGAAACTGTGAGTTGCTGTTTTTCAGCAGCAGAAATTTTAGCTAAGACGAATGTCTTTTAGAAACTGTCATTTGTGTATGGATCATCGCTGTCTCCTCTTTATCCAGAGGCAAACATTTGCCCCCAGGGACAAATACCTCTTCTCCCTCTCTTTTGACCACCTCTTCCTCTCTCCCTTATTCCCTTCCCTTTCTCCCTTGTCTTTTATCTCCTACCTTCAGTACCGTGAACTCTGGTCAGTATGTGAATAATCTAGTTAGACACCAGCTCAGCTTCTGCATGTTTAGTGACAGAAGTGTGACCTCCAGAAACAAGACATTAACATCAGGTTGTGTGAGCAACAAGAGCCTTGGCAATAGCCTATTCTATTGGGCGGTGTCCATGAGTCCCTTTTATAATAACTCAACAGGCTGTAACCTGTTCCTGGCACTGGAGGTTTAATTTGGTGGCACAAGATGCCTACTTGAAGCCTTCTCTCCCCTGTTAATTTTTGTCTCCATGTGGGTTCCTTTCACATATGTATAGGAAGCTCCTAAGGTAGTCAGTTCCCATAGAGTTGTTCAAAGGAACTTTTTATTTTCCATTTCTGATATTTCTTTTCTTTTTAAATTGATTTTTATTGAGCTCTATTTTTTTTCTGCTTCTCTCTGCCTCTCCCCTCCCTTCTTCAACCCTCACCAAAGGACCTTTAGTGTTGGTTGTGCCTCTCCATTTTCCCTCCTTTACCTTTCTGTCCCACCCCCCTTTCTTTAAACCATCCATTTCTAGTTTTCCTTTATAGCTTCATAACACTATTTCCTTTCCTTGAGAGATACTCTGCTCCCTTTTGGTCCCTTAGTAGGTACCAAACCTCTGTGGTTATTCAGATTGTAGTTCCCATATCAGAACCTTAAAAGGGAACATCCTTAAAAGAGAAAACATACCATCTTTGTCCACATGTGCTGAGCGCTGTAGGCTTTTGTGACTGGAGTCTGACATGGGCATGCGCAGAGCACACAGGGTGCAGTCACTGAGAACCATGTGTGCTCACAGCACATCACTATGCCCATGGAACTGGGCTGCTAAGGATGAAGCAGAGTTCAGCTCACACTGAACCAAGGAGCTGCCATGTCAG